TTTCATGCTTATAACAAAACTGAACTTCAAAAGCCTTTCGTGATCACATATATCAAGAGTCCATTTCACATTGTTCTCTCATCTACTGTACAAACACATTCAGTTCTCATTTTAAATATAATTATGATAGATGTAGAATTATGAGATCCAAATCCATTTCCAGATTGTGAAACTCCACAAAGTCCTCTATAATTTTACCTTTCCTCCCAAGAGTGAAAAATATGCTCTCTCCCTGACTTCTTTTTTTGAATCACTAACATTATGAACCCCAATAGTTGAAAAAAATTGTCATTTTTTACTTTTCAGTGTATTTGAAGAAAGACATCCTCTGACCAAATGATAAATGATGTTTTTAGAAAACCAGAACATACACAAAAGTTTCTAAGCTTCTTAGCACAGAAAATAGGACTGAAGGGCTTGTTAATGAGTCAATCTGTGACCCATCCTGTGTGTGCATCTCTCTAATGGAAACTGTAAGACAAAAGACATATCGCCTTTCAAGAAAGACACTGTCAGTGTTGAGTAAAACTCCAGTATGACCATGTCCCTTCAATGTATTCCTTCTTTTTTCAGTATCAGGGAGGAATATTTTTAGGGTTCTCTGAAATTTATAGAGGTCAGAGAACCCTGAGAGTATTCACTATTATCCCTTTTCAGAGGAGTTAGTTACCTGAAGATCAAGAGGATTGAAGTGACTTATAATTAGTCATAATGGTTCCTCCTCTTCATAGCCTATTTGAGATTTAGTTATAAAATATCACTGTATGAAAAAAAAATTTAATGTGATTTATGTGAAAGTGCTCATATACTTCAGAGTGGCAAATGGCAGAATTTAGGAATAGTAGAATATATTTCTCTAAGTGATTTTTAACTCCTATGCTCCACACCCATTATCTGTAAATAAAGTGTAGCTTCCAGTGCAGTCAATGAGCAGTCAAGTGTGCTAACGAGGACATCTTTAAATAGTGTTTTTCTGCTGTGCTATAGAGTAGAGCTGATCAGAGAGCTGATGGAACACAGAACCGTTTGGAGAGGCTCTGAGAACACATTTACAAAAATACCAAATCTGAATTAAGCAAAACTTAAGGATACTTTGTTTTTTCTGCTGGAAAGGAAACAATAACACACACAGGGGCCCAGGTGGTTAATGTACTGTACACTATTACTACAATGTATAAGACCTCAGTCTCTAAGTTCCTCAGAAACCAGGAATTCAGTTGATTACATAGTGCCCTATGGAATAGACTTTAAGAGTAAAAGAGCAAACATTTCAGATATTCTTTCAAAGCTTGCCAATTTACTTGGTTCTTGAATTCTTGCTATTGGTCTGTTGTGCAGGAGAGAACTTTACAATGGTTTTTACCCTGCAAGAGGTTTTAAGCCTGTCTCAGCTACAATAGAGAAAATGACGTGAGCCCCCTTTTTTTTAGTGGTATAAAAAAATAAACTACCACTATAATAGTTAAACAAATGTTCTGAGTTTGGGAATGGTATAATATATAAACCTAAAGCTTTGCAGTTAATGCATGTCCCTTGACATTTAAGTTAACTTAATTTGAAGAGAAATGCTATGATTTCTTAGCTACAAAATTGTTCTCTCCCACTACAGGTAAAATTGAAAGGCTTTAAGTAAACATTGCAAATTCAATAAGGTTCACTTATGAGCTACTTATTTTCATCTGTAAAGTCACCTGGTTGTGCAAAAAGATCCCTAAGGCCCTGACTTCCTCTCACATTCACTGTTGTATACACGTCTGTGAATTCAAGTAGCTCCTCTTCGTGAAGACCATTGACAGTGCTACAAGACTGTAAACAGAGCCACAACTCATATTTAATGTTCATTTTGATATCTTTTAGTAATTTGGCTAATTTGCAGAAAATTAGTAATTTCTTTAAGTGAAATTGTAGAACTAATATTTTATACTCAGTGAATTTTTCCATTTGAAAATAATTTGCTAAATTTTTATGTGATTTTCAAGTTATGTTACTTTACCCTTTAACAAGAGAGTACAAATGGGCTGTATTACCCTTAGGAAGTCCTTTTTCAAAACGTTCTCCCTGCTGAAATGTCAGCACAAAGTTTCTTCTTACATTTCTATGCTTTCTTGGAGTTTTAGTGACCCATGACACCAATCACACATATCTCCAGGAATCTGACACACTGAAAAATCCTATGAGGTTTCCTAAAATAGAACCCGCTGATCAACATTTTACGTGTGAACCGGTACTTATTGAAAGAGGTCTCACTGATTAAGAAATAATAAAAGCAAAACAAAATGAAACAATAGATTTGGGGTGAGGTAGAGTAGACCTAACTTTTATTTGTATTTAGTGATTTGGGCACATCGCCTTACAGTTTGCTCATAGCTCTCTCTGTCAGCACAGCAATTAAGGTCCAATTTTTAAAATGTCTCTTTATCATCAATCATAACTCTGACCTAGTATTCATTTTTTGCAACTCTTTAAAATAATAGAATGGTATATTTAAGATTTTATCAATAGCTTGTTTGACGAGAAATACTCTTGTTACTATTTCATAAAAGACTTCCTGAAAATAGTTTTTACCTTCCTTTAGAAGTAAAGCAACAACAAAACAGAAACAAAGCATTACCTATTGACTTAATTACCCAACTTACTGTGAAAAACAGTGAGTTATATGAGTTAATAGAGAAGGAATAGTAAAAACGGAATGAGACTTTATCTAGGCTATTGCCAATCACTGTAAATAAATTGTAATCTGAATATGTGCTTTGACCAAGTATTTTTCAAAAACATCTTTTACTATTCCTAATTTTCAAAATTTACAGTGTGACTCAGGATACACATTGATATGCACACACATAAATTTAAAACAAAACTCTCATGAAACAACTTATCCTTACTCTATAATCTGTTACTTTCTATTCGAGCTAATTTAATTTTTTAATGCTTATTTGGATTCACTAAATTGATTTCATAACCTACTAATGAGTTGTAATTGTCCATAGAAAACATTGCTTTAATCTAAATCTTAAAAACTGTGAGGAGGTGACTTGCATCTTAATAAGCATACAGGTGTTAAAAACATAATTATCATACAAATAGACAGTGAATTTGTGTCAAAGTCGTGTTAATCATGTTAGTAAAAATGCCAGCAAGAAAATACTAGAGATAGTTTTAAAAGCATTTGAGGAACTTGCATAGTAAACAGAGGAATGACTTCTAAAAATGTTTGCTAAATTATATTTAAGGCTGGTTAACTCCTTACAATATAGGGAGCCATAAGACCTTTGGTGCTTAATTTTCTAGTAAATTATAAAATCAAAACAATCGTATCTGCACTTTTAGACACAGAAGAATTCAAACATAGTTCATCGGAAGACTGACAAAATATCAGTTATTTTAAGAAAGAAATTTTGGAAAGAATGCTAACTCGACATAGAATTCTTAACTGATACAATATAAGTTATTTTAAGAAAGAATTTTTAGAAAGGATGCTAACTGGATATAGAGTTATGAACTAAGTTTATGCAAAGGCTAAGATATTGCCGTGGTATCACTGAAACAGCAATGTTAGGAAGTAGCTACCACCCTTAGCCTCTTGCAGGGCTGAGGGAACAAAAGGAAGATCATTAAGACTTATAAGCTTGGAGGAGAGGCTTTGTGGTGGTGACCGCAAACCTCTCTGATGCTAGTGCTGGTATCTCTGAGGAGGGGTTGATGAGGTCAAACGTTTTGAATATACGGCAAATGTTGGAAATACTGCAAATAGGCAGCACCTGCTGCTATGGGAATAAACTGATATAGTCAGAATGAAGAATGCCAGTAGGGTAAATCCCGGAGCAGGAAGAAACAGAGGAAGCCAACAATGGGAGCAATTCCACTCTCCCTGCTAAGCTTTACCATCTCCCTCCATTGGCAAAGCCTAACATAAAACCACAAACAAAGCAGATACGTGGTTTGCAAAGTCCCAGCCTCAGCATTCTAAAAGCAACCACAGAAGGGAAGTCAAAGCTGAAAGTCAATAGTTTAAAACCTGCCACATCTTCTAACCTGAGAGGGCAGTGGGGCCTTTGCACTTTTATCATTGTGGATTGTTTATCAAGAGTGTCAAATTGTATCTAGCAAGTATGAGAAATATTCTAGCATGAGAGCAAGAAGTAAGCAAACATCATTTGCCTTTTTCTAAATTTGGAATACATTTTATCAGAAATTTGTGGTTTAATAAAATGCTCCACCAAAATTCAAAATTATTATAACTGATATTTTCTGCTTTTTACATTAATGGAATTTCTACAGACCATTTTTCAGATTTATTATACTAACATTAGACACACATTTGGCCTGCTGGCTTGAAAATCAATAATATTACATATTATGAACATAAAGATGTGCCTTCTCCCATGATTCTAGAGTTCTTTGGTCCAGTATTGATATGGGATAAAGTATTAGAAATAATCTATGGGAAATTGTGATTGTTTTTTGAAACTAAATAAAAGTTGTGTATGATGATAGTAAAGATTTCAATTGTATATAGATCTCAAATAAGAAGTTACATATGTGCTTATATATATCAATAAAAATAAAAATAGATCATACTATATATTCTTTCTCACCTGAATTTTTTTCTATTTCATACTGTATCTTGCCATATTACAACAGAGCTCTTCCCCTATATTTTTAAGGTCTGTATTCAAAGGTAGGATCTACATAATCAATTTTAAAATTCCTGGGGCATTTAGGTTGTTTCTAACTTTCTGTTATTGCAATGGCTAGCTAGCTAGCTAGAGAAATGAAAACTTGACATATATTATTTTATGGACAAAGTATATACATATAATATGCTGACAAAACAATATTGAGTTATATGGTAATCATTATTTTGTTAATGTTTATTTGTGGTTGAATCTGTAGTTGACTTGAAACAGCATGAAAGAGAATAAAAATAAATCTGATGAGTGCTGTCCAATCTTTCCAAAGCAATTTTATAATCAACCAATCTTTCTGTTTCTCATATCCAGATGCCACACCATGTGAAGCCCTTGCCATATTACAGCTATGACCAGCCTGTGATTGGGTACTGCCAGGCCCACCAGCCTCTGCATGTCACCAAGGGCTATGAGACAGTGTCTCTGGAGCAAGATGAAAGCACCGGCCTGGAGCTAGGGCAAGACCACAGCTTCATCGCCACCATCGCCAGGTCGGCAGCACCGGCCATTTACCTTGAGAGAATTGCAAACTAACGCTGAAGCCAACTCCTCATTGAGGAACTCCACGGGGGGAGGGAGGGCCTTCATCTTAAAGGAGAGTGGGTGTCTGAAATCGTGCAATCAAGCAAGCTCATCGTTCCTGTTAAAACATTTATGGCATAGAGAAAAGGAAAAGATAAAACCAAACTGCTTAAAAAGGGTAGCGAATGCACCTGCAGCATAACTGGGAGAACTGCAGAACTTTCTTTGCTTTAAAACATAAACGAAAAAAATGCTCCCGGATGTAAATAGTAAGAGTGTCAAGTTCTTATAAAAATAGATTTCACCCTAGCTACATATAGGTTTGTTTGTATATTTGATTTTTCTACACTGCATGGTTCCTGGGCTGGAGAACCACAGGAGGGCAAATAAACAGGGGTGGGTGGGAAGTTGGGGAAACAACAGGTTTCCTCTTTCGGTATTTGTAACTCTCACAGACTTTATTTAAATTGTTTTCATTTTCTTTTTTTCTTTTAAAATGCTGTTTGTTCTTGTTTTGTTTGTTTTAAATTGTTTTTTTTTTTCCTGGTCAAGTTTCTAATACAAAACATGAGCATTAAAGCTTATGTTGTATCAAAAGAAAATGTGTTTTACCACGGACCACAGAGAAAGTTGACCACAAAGTTCCATAAAACTACTGGAAAGAAAACTCAGTAAGTCTGGGTGAATGACTCTTCATGACAAATGCCATATGTGGCACATGATAGAAGGAGTTTTGTTTTGTCCAGTTGGCAGCCTTCACTGTGTAGGATGTCTGAGAGAGCCTTGAAGATCTCCGAATGACAAGATCAGCAGAATCATTCTCATGTGGACTAAGGCTATAAAAGAGCCATGGCCATGTGCTCAATGAATGAAACTGCCAAGCTGACAAATTTCTAAACACAAGATAATGTGTAACCTTGCTTTTTAAATTAATTATCAATTAGATTTTGTGTAGTTTTTATCAATAAAAGAAAAAATGTTGAAAAATAAATATATTATTTTGTGGTTGGTGTACCACAGCCCACCTAATGTAGAGTGCTTTATCTATATACATATTATGGAATGCTTCCAGTCTATATCACGGCACTTCGATAAGAATCAAGTGGTATCTATCAAGTGCTTTCTGTGTGTTCCATGGACAGATAGGAAGGCAGATATGAAGTGCAGAAAATGTGGTTTATGATGGTTTGGCTATGTCCTCACCCAAATCTCATCTGAAATTATAATTCTCCTAATCCCCAAGTGTTGTGGGAGGGACCCAGCGGGAGTTAACTTAATCATGGGGTGTGATAGTGAGTAAGTTCTCACAAGGTCTAATGGTTTTATAAGGGCTTCCCCCTTAGCTTGGCTCTCATACTTCTCCTTGCTCCAGCCATGTGAAGAAGGACATGTTTGCTTTCTCTTCCACCATGACCGTAAGTTTCCTGAGTCCTCCGCATCCATGCTGAACTGTGAGTTGATTAAAACTCTTTCCTTTATAAATTACACAGTCTTGGATATGTCTTTATTAGAAGCATGAGAATGCCCCAATACATTTCACAATTATTTTCAGAGATAAGTGACATTGCTCTAATAAAATTATAAAACAATATGAGAAAAAGTAAGTATCCATGGAAGGGTTAGAGGTTGTCAGATCTTATAGAAGTGAAAGAACTGTGTGAAAATTTATTATTGTCTAGAAAGATGGATTACATCTCCTATTTTTTAACAAAGGAGATCATTGCATGCACATCAGTTGAGACATTTTCTCTCAACTTCTTTAGTGTTGTAACACTATATCTTAGCAATTCTTTAACTGTGGACATTCTCCTGATGTGTTCACTGGTGTTACTTGCCTGTTTTTTTTTTTTAAACTAAGTGATACTATGAAATTTATTTCACCCTTTATTTGGATAACTTTCATATTTTAAGGAATGCTCACATATAGTGGCACTGCTGAGTTGTTCCAGAACCAAGTTAATAGCTGCCATCCATTTAATTCTAAATTCTTCTGAAATAATAATAAAAGAGGCTTGTAAATACCATCACATCACAGCAAACTAGCAGAGAGTACTGAACATGTTTCGTTTTATTTTTCCCCCTCAAAGACGTTCTGTTTTACTGCCACTTTAAATAAACCTTGAAATTAAATTCTATACCAAATGATACAAATAGTATGTCGTATTAAAGAAAAATTCAATCAAGGGAAGATTTTGTCATGTTGAAACACAGGGCTATTGCTGTTGAATTCTGGTATCTTTCTTCTTAATATTTATAACCTGGGTTATATATATTTTCTAAATCATTCAAGTAGAATGAATTTACTATGAGTTTAAAAATTAAAGAGAATTCTCTGGCATTATGATTTTACTTTTAGAAATTATTCAATAGATTTGGAGTATTTCTTCTCAAATTACAAGGATTTTTTGGTGGGTGTCTTTCCAAATTACAAGGATTTTCTTAACTCTTCTCATCTCCTCCATCTATCCAATGCCCCCTACATACCATATCCACCACACTTCCCCTTCCAGAGTTGAGTTACAAGAGGTCACACATGAAAAATCTTGATCAAATTTGGCTGATGTCAGCTCCAGTTTTAATTCTGTTTCTTATAACCAAAAAAGTCATAAACAGATAAGACCTTCATGTTATTTAAAGCTGCCATATTTGGCCAACAGTCGCCTCAAGGTTAATAAGAAATAAGTGAACTAGTAGCAAAACAGATAGTATTATAACAAATGATGTGTCCTATTTATATGAAAACTTTCAAAGGACTTATTTAAAATCTAATTTACATACACCAGCACAAGTTGACACTGAGTTCCAGAAATCTATGATTAAAACAAACAAACAAAAATCCAAATCAAATTTACATTAGTAGGCTTAGAAACGTCTACTAAAATTCAGGCTTGATGTTGTATGAAGTCTCAAGCATGTTCTCAGATAAAACAGAATATATATATATATATATATATATGTTTTTATAAAAAGACAGTGATATTTCAACAAAGAGCTTAAGAAGAAAATGTTGGATTATTGATCCCTTACACCCAAAAGTCAATTATTTTTATGCTGCAACCCTGGTGTAACCAAGGAGGATGAAAAGCTTCTGTTAGTCACAACTCAGGATAAATTATCTTCTGGACCTCTAAATGATAGGGAACAAACTTGTCTATACAGGGTACTTTTTTCCTATTTCTTGTTAATTTGCATGCTTTGCTGTGGAAACTGATTGCACCAGAGTCCTTCTCCCTTAACATGGAAGAGTGTGTGTAATTGTGAATTGTGGCCCTAGCTAGTATAAAGATTTTTTTGACTCTCTTCTAGACGTCAGAAATTATGTTGATTCTACTTTTTTTTTATGTTGAAATGTTAAAGAGCCCTCTCAAAGAAAGTTATGGTTTATTTCAAGACTATCCTAATTAGTAATTTGATTTTATACTATAATGTTTATTGACCTTCTGAAGGCTATGCAGGTTGTAATTTTAAAGTTGAGGAGTCTCATGGAGTATTTATAGAGCAAGGCCATTAAAACCATGCCTAAAAGCAATTGTGAATGTGACAGAATACAGATTGGAACAATCAATTATCCAAACATTCTGATTAGCTTTCTTTATAAATATTCTTTGTAATGCTGAGTTTGCTTTACTTATTGCAACATGCAATTAAAAAAAAAAAGTCTTAGAACAGGGGCTCGATTGCTATATGTTTAGGTGTAACTGTGGTTTAACTTTGCATCTTATTGTACCTCTACTCACAGATTGGCAGGCCTAACCCCAGTATGTCTGATCCAGAAGGTCTGATAAGGGATCTGAGAATATCTTTCTAAGTCCCCAGGTGATGCTGAGGCAGCTGGTTTGTGGACTACATTTTAAGAACCATTGCTGTAGAGTGTAGATTCTTATATCTCTTTAGGTTTGATGACTCTGTATGAGGACTCAAAATTTGCATTTGATATTTACTTAGAATTTAATGTTATATGAATCTTTGAAATAAGAATTGATTTAAAACAAGTAATAGTTTCATATGTTCATGCAATATGAAAGGCTCATACCTTTACATAAAGAGCATTTTCTAAAATATGCTATTTAACACTAACAGACGATGCTTTATGTGAAAGCAAAGAAAGCAAAAAATAAACAACAGCAGCAGTAACAACAACAACAACAGAGGTTTATATGATCAAATTAAATTCAGAAAATATTGCATGTGATATGCTCCCTTTGGAAACTCACAAGGCAATTTAACATTTAAACAATATCAGAAACATTGCAGTCAAGAAACCCATTTAACTTTGTTTAACCCGGAGTTTTCTAAACATATTAAACTACAATATCCTTCCTTAATTTAATATCTAGAAGAAAATCCTGCAGTACTAATTTTCTATAGAACTCATTTGGGAAATGTTAATTTAAGAAATGCTCTTTATTTAACCATCAAGAAAAGCAGGTACCTTTGCAGATAACTATTTCTACCACAGATGACATAATGTACACCTGTTTCTGAAATGCGTGTGGATTTTTTTAATCAAAGACAATATATTTTAATCTCTCTAACAATAAAGCAAATGTCAAATATACCTGGATTAAATGAAAATGAATAATTAATGAAAATTTGACATCATGAATGAGAAGTAGATCTCTTCATAGACAACATTTCTCTTCCCTTGGAGATTAGGCTCATTGTTTCTAAAGTGTAAGGCATTTTACAATCAAAATAAATCACCAAAAATTGCATGGAAATGTGGAGAGCCTTTATTATCTGAGTTAAGAAGTTCCTGATAAGTCTCTAGGCTAGGGTGATGTCACTCATTCATCTGTTTTCTGGGCCAGCGGTGCCCCTCAGACAGGTAATAGTAAGGCTTCCCTGAAGGGAAGGAAGAAAGATCAACAGGGACCTTGGCTCATCCTATCAAAGTTATTTCCTAATAGAAGCCAGGAAATTCATTATGGTGTTAGAATACACTTTAGACATACTGTACTCATTATTGTTTCTTTTTCAAAATTACATAAGAATTAAAATGAGGTCAGACATGAGCTGAGATTTTGTACTAGTTAAGAAAGCTATATTACTGAAAATAATGAAAGAACTCTATAATAACACATCCCTGGAATCAAAATATCCAAATTCTTGAGTTTGGCTGTGTCCCCTTAATGGAGGAAATACAACTGAGGATAACTGATGTAAGGATTAACTTGGTAGTTATATTAGTCTACTCTAACTTCCATAACAAAGTACCATAATCTTAAACAATAGAAATATATTTTCTTTACAGTTTGGAGGCTGTGAAGCTCAAGATCAAGCTTCCAGGAGGCTTTTGTATCTGATGAGGGCTTTCTTCCAGGTTTTCAGACAGCTCCCTTGTCCCTGTGTCCTTATAAGGTACAGAGAGAGTGCAAGCTCTTTGGTGTCTCCACTTACGAGGACATTAATCCTATCAAATCAATTCTTCACTGTTATGACCTCATTTAACTGTAATTGCCTCCTTCTACACCCTATTTTCAAATACAGTCACATTGGAAGTGAGGATGTCTTCAACACATGAATTTTAGGGAGACACAATTCTGTCCGTAGCAGGCAGGAATGCATAAAATACAAACAAACAAATAGCTGCAAGATATCTGAGAGAGTCAGCCCACTGATTTTAAGAAGAAAAAGTACATAATAGAAGTAGCCAGTTATTCTAACAAATGAATGCTTGAAAGAAAGATTAGCTGGAATTATGAGTAGGTCTGAACTCCAAATGTGTTTATAAGGAAAGACTATGTGGTTTCCTTTTCTGTTTTATACACATGGAGTATTAAAATATTTCTTAGTAAGGTCATAGAAGAGTTTCATTAACTAAGTTTTATACACAATTTTAATGTTTTCAAGTAGATCTATTGCTTAGAAAAAACATTTCCTGGCCAGGCACGGTGGCTCATGCCTGTAATCCCAGCACTTTGGGAGGCCGAGGCAGGCGGATCACAAGGTCAAGAGATCGAGACCATCCTGGCCAACATGGTGAAACCCCATCTCTACTAAAAATACAACATTTAGCTTGGCGTGGTCGCGCGTGCCTGTAATCCCAGCTACTCGGGAGGCTGAAGCAGAAGAATTGCTTGAACCCAGGAGGTGGAGATTGCTGTGAGCT